CCAATGAAGATCTTGGAGTATTGTTCCCAGTATCGACCCCTGGGGTAGACCAATAATGAGTGGCCTCCAGCTTGGTTTGTGCCAGTAGTCACAACCTTTTAAACCTGGCAATTTAGCCAGTTGTCAGTGCACCTCAGCATCCAGTTACCTAGTCTGTATTTCATGACTTCATCTATGAGGATTTTATGGGAGACAGTGTCAAGACACTCACTAAAGTCAACATGAACAATATCCACTGCTCTCCCTTCATCCGTCAAGCCAGGAACCTCATCATACAAGTCTATTGGGTTGGTTAAACACATTTTCCCCTTCATAAATTGATGCTCAATGTTTATAGTCACCTTCTTGTCCTTCATATGTACAGATATGGTATCCAGGATTATTTGCTCCATCACCTTCCCAGAAACTGAAGTGAGACTCACTGGGTTGGAGCTCCCCAGTTTCTCCTCTTTGCATTTGTTGAAGACAGTAGTGACATTTGCTTTCTCCCAGTCCACAGAAACTTTCCCAGTTGTCATGACTTTTCAAAGTTAACTGAAAGTGGCCTCACAATGACATTAGCCAGCTCCCTCAGCACTTGTAGGTACATGCCACCAGGTCCCATGGACATGTTCTCTTCAAATTCCCTAACTTGGTCCTCACCCACCAATGGTAAGTCCTCCAAGCTCCAGACTTTCCCTCTGACCTCAGAGCCCTGGGATTCTTGAAGGCAGGTCTTACCAGTGAAGAGTGAGGTGAAGAGGGCATGAAGTACCTCTCCCTTTTACATGCCCTTTTCACCAGGTCCCCTACCCCATTCAGTATCAGAACTACATTTTCCCCAGTCTTCCATTTGTTGCTGACATACCTGAAAAACCCCTGAAGTTCAGGTTGTGATCCTGCTTTTTGCTGTGCTCCCTCTTCTCAGGATCCTGTATACCACCATCACTGCAGACAAGTCTGCCCCTGACCATCTTATTATGCAAAGATGTGTCAGTGTGTGGGAAAGGGGAAAACTGTCATATGGGGAGTTCAGGAATCAGATTATTTCCTGCTGCTGTCTGAAAAAAATAGAGAATTAGGGTATGGATCTCCTTGTTTATTCAGCCCATCTGTCTACCCACACATATGCCACTGTATTTGGATAGGACCTACCATAAATAATTAATATTTCATCAGGCAGGGTTGGGCAGGTATCTGTGTTAGACTTTTGAGTCTGGTCCACTACAGTCAATCTGACTCAAAATTTCCCCAAATCCTCCATCTGGGCCTAGGCAAAGGGAATTATCAGAAACTTCTGCTGGGGCTGTGAGAAGAGGTAAGGTGTCTAGAGAAATCGCAAGGATGCAGTTTGGAAGGAGCAAGAGTAAGGGATAACATGCAGAATGAGTGTAAAAAGAAAAGAGCAGAACAACAAAACCTTCCTGCTTGCAAAGTATGACCCTAGGATTCAGAAGGCTGATTCAAGTCGTACCTCCACCAATGACCTACAATATATCTTTAGTTAAGTCCTATCATTTCTTTGGGTTGTTCAATCCCTTCCCTCCAGCTGCAGAAGTGTTGAGGGCAGGACAGGGAAGAGGAAACATTTGGCAAGAGAAATCTATCTAAGCCTGCACACGGTAGGCATGTGTCTCCCGTCACGTGAGGTGAGCAGTTATGTGGCTGTGTAGCTTGCTTCCCTGTCTGCCTCAATCATGTGTAAGCGTGTCTGCTGCAGGAGCTTTTCCTCATTCTTGTACTAAAGTTGTGACCTTAGGCCCCAGCGTTCTTCTCACTGAGCACTGGATTTCCTGCAGAAGGCCTGGTTTGGCCCATCTTCTCTATGCCTGGGAATGTCCTATGTTCTGTGCTGTAGTGGCTCTTCTTTTCCTGGCTTAGCAGAGAGGAAGGATGTTTGGGAGGCTGGAAATGAATGAGGTGAGTTGGAGGATATGGAGGTGACTTTGTCAGGGATATACAATAGGTTGGTTTATTTTTCCTGTTTCCAGGGAAATATTTTCTTTTCTCCTAGGGCAGATAGGAGAGGTTGTTCCTCTACATTGATTGCTGCACTTTACATGACCTTGTCCAGTGTTTGAGATGGCTGCTCTGAGGTGTAGTCACAGGAAAGAAAATAAAAAAAAAAAAAAGGAGAAAAAAAGACCAAATTCCCTTGTTCTGCAAATAAAACATAAGAAATAAAACATGAATGGATGTAAGGGAGAGGAGGATGGGCAAAATTATCACCCTCCATAAGTCAAATGGCACAGCCCCAAGAAGGGATATGGCTTACACTTGCACAAACAGGCGTTACCTTTTGCCCTTGCTAGAAATGACTCAGCTGCAAATATCATCTGCCATTGATTGTTACCCCAGAAAAACAAATGATTCAAACTTTGTGGAAGGGCATGTGCAAGGCACTGGAGCCTGGCAACAGGGCACAAGAGGGATGAGCAGTCTGCTTGCAAAAGCCGTCTTCCCAAAGACCACAACAGCCTTTGAAGCACACTTTAAGGTGCAGAGTAGCACTACAGGCAGGCAAATAAAAACTGGCTCTCCCCAGAGTTAATGAAAGTATTGCCACTGGCTAACTTCCTGGCAACAGGCTGGGAGCTGTACTGCAGCCTCTAAACTAGGATTACACACACTGCAGCAGTACTTACTGGCCTTGACATGTGAATACACAGCAGGAACAAGCTTCTATGCAATGAGCAGTGGAGAAATATTTACCTCCCTGAAAAGTCAATATTTTAGCACAAACACTATTGGGAGGGTTTATAAGGGTATTTTGTTTGTAAGCAAACTTCAAAGATTTTTATGGGTTAGTTTTTTAGCTACTATTGTTTACATTTTTGAATCATAGAATCATAGAATAGCTAGGGTTGGAAAGGACCTTAAGATCATCAAATTCCAACCCCCTGCCATGGGCAGGGACACCTCGCTCTAAACCATATCACCCAAGCGAAACAGTTCTCAGAAGACTGAATGGGATGAGTTTATAGCTCTAGCAAAACCAGGGAGTGACACACAGCACTTCAGTGCAGGATGTGCAATGGGAGTGAACGTGCTAGGATGCTGGCCCAAGCTGTTTCCCAGGAAGATGTTCAAAGTGATGTCCTCAGCTTGGGCTTCTGGCTCCTGCTAAGTGATGTGATTTTCAAATGCCCTGCAGATTTAAGATTGCTTTCCAGTGCTCCTCACTTCTGAAAACTGTGCAGATTGACTCAGTTTAGTTGGCTGATATTTTTTACCCTGTCCAATGCAGTCCTTCAGTGTTATTTCCTCTAACAGAATACTTTTTGATATCTTGGGAGCTATTTTAAGGTTCCCAATCCATCTGTGAAACCAATGGAGGGACTTGAGAGGGGTGACCTTGGACACAGAAAGAATGAAGCCGGGCCACCCAACTTTAGCAATGAGTGCTCCTACAGCTGATAGAAACATTATCCTAAGCTCTCCATACCCCTGAGTTTAGGTAGTAATTCTGCATTATTATCCCTGACAGTCCAGGGAGCTGAGGTAACCATTTTTGCAATTTAGCAGTGTACCAAAAGCTGAATGATGAAGTGGCTAACCTGATGATACTTGGCTTGGTACAAAGACTGGAGTGTTATCCCCCAGCCTCCTTTATGCCTCACTGTGTAGACTCTCTGCTTAGCTCTGTAAAACTGCTTAGAGACAAACATTAAGCATCTCTCCCTCTGGCTTCCTTACCAAAACCTCTCACTTTAATCTTGAAATGCTGTAAGAAAAATACATCCAGACATATGCTTCATACAAAGCCCTGCGTCTCTAAATAGATAGTTTAAATAAAAGATGATGTGCAAAACTGAAAGGTCATGGAAAGATCATTAACCACGCAGAACTGTAGAGTCTGCAGTTTTTCTCCTACCTCACAAATTATTCGTTTCCTGCTTTGATGACTTTAAGCATAAATGTGATATTAGTGTGGCCTTCCTGAGCACCTCTGTCCCATAGATTCCAGAGAAAAAATACTCTGTGATTTGCATCACTGTGCTGCATATGAAACAAGATCTATTTCTCACACGTAGTGCTTCAGAGCTGCGCCACTTAAAATAGTCTTGATAACTCTGTCTAACCAAATCCCAGCTGTATAGCTGTTGCTGCTGCTGTTGCTATACCCTGCCCTGTGGATGGCTAACATGACAAAGAAGCCAGGGTTTCCTGGAGTATCTCAGTGGTTAGGTTGCTGGCAGACGACTCAAGCACAGAGGGGTTTAATTTTTCTTCTATTCAGTGACCTTGCATAAATCATTTCTCACCCTCTGAAAGTGCTTTGAAAATGATGGCTGACAGTGGTATATAAGAAAGAACTTGGTGTTTTAGCAGGGCCTGGTAGTCATTTCAACACAACCATTTTGTAATCAGAGAGACAATGGTTTATACTGGTGCCAATGTATTTCATTAGGGCCCTCCAGTACTATGTGGTTCCCAGTGGTACAGCTCACTGCTGTGCCATGAACACCTCAGCTCTTTCCCACTGCTCTTGAGCTCCCCATGCCTGTGTTGCTTGGTGAGAGGGATAACTCCAGCTTTAAAGGAAAGGCCATATGGTTAGTTGGCAAATACAATATTCAGTTCCCATGATCAAAAGAAAGTGTGCAGCATGGGAGGATGGCAGACAGTTAGGGAAAGGGAGTATGAAGATGGATTTTAGGAGAAAGCTTTCTGACAGTGAGATTTGAAGCAAGAAGCTCATGCAACAGGAACCCAAACCACACGGAAATTCCAGGCTTGCTTCTGAGTGTTGAATTAGTGGGAACTCTTCTCAGGAACAGATTAGAAAGGAAGCACTCTGACACTCAGATGAGTCCCTGCATTTGGGGCAATGGATGCCTCAGTGAATGTCTGTTCCTTACTTCAGCTTCCTTGTTTGCAAAGAAAAGACAGTTCCTTCAGCTACTTAAGGTTTTGATTACTTCTGGATATTTTTGGCCCTTTTGATTCCCATGAACTAAGTGCCCATGACTGTATTCTGTAAAAAGAGAGAGCTCAGCCAGGGTATTACATTGAGAATCGGTGGGGAACAAGTGAGATTTATACTTTCCTTTCTGTCACTTTTTCTCGCATGTAGGAGTATTTTCACATTAAGCTGTCCAGATGTTTCTTAATCTGTATCCCTCCCTGTCATCCTTCCTGTTCTCCTTGGTCTTCTTGTTTTTTCTTCTGTGATCCTGAGGCATTCTTCTTTAAAAGATTTGTTCAGATGAGGGGCTTGCTTGCAGAAGTCCAGCTGAGGGACAGAAAAATGTGACTGTTGAATGGTTGTGCTGGTATGGCACCATTGCAGTGAGTGCTGGCTGACTACAGAAAGAGCAGGTCATTAATCACCGACTGAAGGATGCTCTCTGCTCTAGAAGAAAGGGCAGTTTTCCAGTAGAAAGCTGTCTATATGCAAATCACCACTTCTGTTGGCATTAGAGACCAGATTGAACTGGTATAGGGGACATGTCTCTGAAGGACATCTCTCAGTTTGTCAGGAGACAGAGAGCTGAGTAAGAAGAATGTTGACCTGCTACATCTCTTGTTTCTGTTCTGTGGAGTGTAAGCAAATGCACATTTTGGAGCTAAATTACACCCACGTCCTTTTGGATCTAAATCACACCCACATTGCTAGAAAGGACAGGAAACACTGGAAAAAAGCTTCCCCCCCATGTCCTACCTACCTCTTTCACACCTGAATGCTCTCTGCTGTTGCATATTGTTTTCAGAGAGGTTCTTCAGGTCCATGGGCTATGCTTTTTACACTACTGCCCGATCATGCACTATGAGAGGTTGTGATCTAATCTTGTAAATTGCTCTGAAACACTGCTCATATAAAAGGTGCTCAGCCTGACTTGATGGCCTTAAGAATCTCTTTTCAGTGTTTGCATTTCAACTCAATGCTCTGCCCTGACTGTGTCTCTCTGAGTGCTCTTTTTCATAACGCCTGGAGGGGCAACAGGTATCTCAGGGCTGCAGGTAAAAGATCTTCCAGTGTGTTGAGTTTATGCACTGACTGCTATAGTTTTTTTTTAATACAAAACCAATGTGTCTCTTTGCATCCTCTATTATATGGCCGTGAAGAGGAAACTGTTGGCAAAGTGAGGTGTAAGTTGTATTTAACCTACTGGGAAGCCAACAATGGCTTTGCTTGTGTTGAGCACCTAGAGCTTCGAAATTCCATTTCCATGACAGGAAGAAGAATTAGGAAGAATCCCAGAGTGATAAAGTGAAGAAATGATCTGGCAGCCTCAGCAGGACTGCACTGAGATTCAAGCAGACATTAGATCATTGTCACCTACTGCAATAAAGGACCCAAATTTGGCTTTTGTACCATATATTATTGTACAAGTTGGCCCAGATACATCTTCTGTTTTTTCAATTCAGTTTTGCAAGACCACCTTGTTACGAATGGGAAGCTGAGCAGTACTACTTCAGGCTTGAGTTCTATAAAACAGTTTGTCGTTTGTGTTTCCTTTGCTGCGCATAGCAAACTTAATGGCAAGAACTTTCTGATGGCCTTCCTCTAGTACTGCTGCATACATAAATGATATTCCAGTCCCAGCAAATGGACAAATACACTTTGAGAGTGCAGTCCAAAAGCCTTGTTTTCCAGTGTGTCAAATGTACAGAGCTCTACCAATTTCAGCTGGATTGTAGACGACTTGAAAAGAAACCAGGAACAAATTCAGCCCAATCTGCAGTACTGAGATTGAACTTTCAGACCAGTGTAACTCCACAGCACAGGTTCGATTTAATATGGGAGTAAACAGGAATCCACATAGTTTTTGTGACAAAGGTGCCCCTGTCCTGGTAGCCTGGGCTACCCTGTGTGTTCCTCACATTAAGGAGCAGATCTCGCACCAAACCTCACCCGTGGGTTCAATGTGTCTCGCAACAGTTGTAGGGCTTTTTGCCAGTATAGGAAAGGGGCTCATAACTTGGGCCTATAGTTTTTTAACTTCTTCAGTGTTTTTGAATACTGAAAGAAGCCCTTGTCCTTATCCAGATTCCCAGGTCTTTTCTACATCAGTGTTGGCAGCTGTATGGTGGAAGCATAAGGTCTGGGCCAGGAAAACCCCCAAGGCATGGAGCAAAAGGGATGCGTATGTGAACCATGTCTCAGTGGATGAGATCTGGCAGATTGCTACGTGTGAAAAGGCTAAACCCCATGTACTTCTGTGTGTGCTGAGCCATCCTTTAAGTGACCCTCATCAGGGTGCTGCTGAGTTGACATGTTAGAATGTGAATGCAGCAAAAAGTACAGAACTGGCTCCAAACAGAAATGAAGAGAGGATTGGACAGCACTGGTAGATAATGGGTGGAAAAATGTGTTCCTTCATGCCTCCCAGCCATGCCTTAGTGCTGGGTTTAAAAGTGGAGAAAAACATCAGCTTGGCAAAGTAAAAAAAAAGAAAAAGAAAAAAAAGGGCTCTACGGATTCGTCTCCCTTTTTTCGTTGAGTTTGCACATTTCACTTCTACAGGGGGAATAACAGCTGCATTCTTTCCTCATCACAATTGCAAAGAAATGATCATCCCCTTTCGCTGCATTTCCTAACTCCCCCAGTTCCTCTTTCAGGTTTATGCCTTTTCTGTATGAAGTTCTCTTGGTAGCATGGAAATTAATTGAAATGAGTGTGACTAAGAGGGGAAGACCAAATAATGTCAGGATTTCAGTAGTAGCTCCTGAGTTGCGTAAGTACTATTTTTACAGTGATTGCAGACAATCTCATGAATCATTGCAAATGTACACAGCTAAACACAGGCTGTTTCTTCCCAAGGCTGGGCCTGAGCGGTTAAAGCTTGTACATCCACAGAGCATGGGTGCTAATAATAACCCCTCCATTTAGACAGTGCCTTGAGCTGGTGTCCCTCACAAACATGATGGGGCCTGATAGGTAGAGGTGTAGCAAAACCACAGCACTCATTGAAACAAATCTCCTGCAAGCAGCTACCAATTCCTGTAGCCTTCTTGGACTTCCTGCAAAAGACCTCACTCCCACAGACCATTAAAAATGACCCTGCCAAGATTCTAGAGGTAAAAACATGTCCAAGCCCTCACATGCTGTATTACTCCTTTCCTTCCTTTGTCTGTACATTATTTAAGTGTCTTCAAGGCCAGCTGGAACCCTTAGAGGCCCTTATTTGAGGCAACTTCTGTACTCCACATACCACTTGTCCAATTTTCCTGTGGAGGCATTTGAACTTTCTTCTGTCTGCGTGTCTTGCCATCTGCAATGGGAACTTCTTCCTGAACTGAGATCAGCTCATTGTTCAATGCCCATCTGTAGAACTATCAGCCTAGGCTGTTTCTTTAGAAACAATTAAAAAAGGAAACGGCAGAGAAGAAGCTATCCTCTTTACTACATGACAAGCAGTAATCCTTATTAAGTTCCTCTATAATCTTTATTGCTATTAGCGCTTGCTTCCCTCTGCTCTGCACTCCTTTTTAACTTCTTTCAATCTGAGCAAACTGGGAGTTTTATCCTGGTGTGCTTTTTTTTCATTCCCACTGACCTTGAGATGGCATATTTCATTTTGGGAGAGGCAATATTAATCAGTGTGGTTGCATGAGTATCTCTAATGCCTCATGGAGAAGGCTTCCTGTGCTTCCAGTCTCAGCTCCTCTTGTGCCTCTTGGCCCCGTGGCCGCATTACATTACCCTTACTTACTGCTCTATAGTCTCCATGCTGTCTACCCTGACAGGATGCAGCATGGCAATTTGATGACTACAGTGCATTACAGAGATGGATTCCAGCCAGGGAGTATAGCTCATGCAGCAAGAAGCAGGTGTGAGGCTAGTAAATGATGGGGACTGGAAAGCAGAAATGACATTAGCTGGGACAGAGAGCTATAGGATGAGAGACTCACTTTCAGGCGAAGCCTATGCTTGTTCCCTTCCATGTTACTGTAAAGGTTGTGCAGGCATTAATGGGGTCAGGGAACCCTAATGTACAGGGTCATAAGAGACTGTGTGTCCATTCCCCAACTAAAAGGTGGGAACCAGTGACTCAGTGGTGAGGGACAGAGGAATGTCATTCTTGCACCATTTATACGGCTGGCAGGCTGTAGCTCAGAAGATGAGATTGCTTGGAGTCAGTTTTACAGTGTCACTGTCCTCCTCCAGGCATTTGTGAAGCATCGGGGTGTATGCTCAGAACATTGCAGATTGAGAGCATGTGTCCATTAAGATGTATATTTACAGTTTGCTGTTGCTCTTAAACCGGATCGGTTTCCTGTTTGTAATGTGACAGTTCTGGCTTTGGATGGCCAAGTGCGCTGCTCCTCTTACACTACACTTTGCCTTTGTGCTGAAGAGCAATGGAAGGATATGCTCTGAAGAACCTTGTATTGAAACATTAAACTAGGTTGCAAATTGCTTCTCCCAACCCTATTATTAGGATTAACAGAGAGAGCTACCCATAAATCATGACAGATTGTTTTCTTTTTCCCCTTCATAAGATACACGGACATATTTATAGATCTTAAGAGGTTGTGAAGTCACTGCAAGCAGGCTTCCCCAGCCAGGAGCAAAAGGTGCTTGGCTGTAAAATGGAGGAGGATATTTTATTACTAACACATTTATTTGTGAAAACACTCTACGGCAATGTAAAATATTCTGCCTTTAAGAAGTATGTGCATAGCCACAGGGGATATAAAATATTATATATCTATGTATGAGGTAGAAATATGACAATAGCAATGCAATAGGGATGTGCATGTGAGTTTATTATAGTATCTAACTGTACTAGTCTTAAAGAATTGGACATGTAGTGAATAAAACATTAGCTTTTGGATTATAGGGATGGGTCTCTGGGACTATCTGCGCATTGACATGTATTGGTGTGGTGTCTGATATGATACGTACATTCAATACAATTTCTCCAGCTGTGAGCCTCCTGCTCCCCTCTGACCATTTGCTTAAATTGTTCATTTCTGTAATTTTGAAGAAAACTCAAGATTTTGAATTCCATGAAAAAAGAGGGCTGTAAACTTCCTCTCTTAGCCTTCCCTCTGTGCTTTGCTGTCTCTGAAAGCAATATGTTAGATAAAGGATGATGAGAAATGAGATGGAATGAGTGTTGTTTCAGTGCTTTTAGAGATCAGTGTCTCAAATGCCCAGTGAACAAGTTTCTTGAAATTGCTGCTCTAGCAAATCCCCAAAATTAACTAAAGATGGTGAAGATGTGAGGAACAACAGACCTTAACTGTAACGTGCATCAACACTGAGGGTGTATTTCTTCTTGGATCCCTGACAAACGAGCTAGTTAGCTACCCTTTATCTTAATCCTACCTAATACTAATTAGAGCAGCCTGGGCCCTGTAGGGGCTGGGATTTTGTGGTAGGAGCTACACAAGGACAAAACCGTGGAAACCCATGTAAGCAAAAGCACCTGCTCCTGTTTGTCCTCCAAAACAGCCCATGCAGGGCTTAGTGTGGGAAGGAAAATGGGGCTGTGCGAGTCAGGGGGTGTCTGAGGTGCTGGTCCGTGGATGAAGCTGGGTACTACTGGGAGGGAGGTGGGAGCCTGTGGGCTGCAAGGGGGTCCTGTCCGGAGGGTTTTGTTCAGGAGCTGGGTTTTAATCCAGTCTGCTGGATTAAAACATTAAAACCTTAAAGATGATGTCAGGGGGTCAGTGGGGAGTGAAGGCTGCCGGTGCCCATGCCTGGGGTGTGCAGGGTGCTGCTATGGGCGCCGGTGGGGAGGGAGGGCGTCTGGCACGGGGGTGAATCACCCACGCTCGCCCTTTGTTGTCCCGCCTGGGCGCCGGCCAAGGCACCCAGCCATTTTCTCTGAGGTGATCCGACAAGATCACAGTGCAAGGAGGGCAGGCCACCTGCCAGGAGCCGGGCCGCTCTTCTGCTGGTCCCAGGCCTGCTCCTGAGGGAGAGTGGCTGCTCGGCCCCAGTGGCTGCTTGGCCTGTCTGTTGTGGGCCAAGTGCTGTTCGCCATCCTGGCTCTTGCCTTCTGCCTGTGGCTCATGGTGGCCGATGTGGGAGCCCACATCACAGCCCCAAAGCTGAGAAGAGTGGGGCCGTAGGATCCAACCGCTTCCATCTGGCCTTTGGACCTGCAATGCTATCAGCCCTGCTTTCTCCAAGCCTTACTCTCAGTACACGTCTCCTGCATTGCCTATCCATGGTGCAGTGTCCTGGGGCTTCCAAAGGTGCTTGTTTATACAGCTGGGGCTGCTCCCATGCCCATCTGTCCCTGTGAACATTCAGCACTGTCCTTTATCTCATGCAAGCCTGCAAACAGTAACCCATAGTGCAACCCAATCTGCTTCTCTCATCAAGATAGATGCCTATCCCAGCTTTTATTGATCCCACTGCTCACAGCTATCCGCCTCACTGGATGCTTTGTACACAGAGGGTGAGCTGCTCCCCTCCCCATACCACTCGCACTGATGTCATGCTGGGCTGCTCCTGCCTTGATGCACTGAAGGACACATGGAATCTTGCGAGGTAGAGCCCAGTGCATTGCCATGCAGGTTGGGTGGGAGAATTCAACCTGTATCTTGCTCTGTTTTTTCACCCCAAACTACAAATGCTTAAAGATGTGAATATTTTGTTCTGTGATGTATGTGTTACAGAGCAGATGCTCCCATCTGTGCATCACAATGCTTTTGGTAGGAGGGATGGGCACTGGGGGGTCTGTACATCACATTGCACAGAGTGATGTTTTCTCCCTAATACCTCTTGTTGACAAAAGAGTGCTCTGGGAGATGCTGAGGAGAGAAACAACTCTTTGTCTATATGGCTTGCAGCTAAAGCCTGTTTGCTGGGGAGGCAAATTTTTCTTGCTGGATGAAATCCACCTCTATGCCAAGGTGCAAAAGAGCATCTCACCATTTTGCTGAGCTGGCACCCGGGGGTGAATGACCTGTTTGGTGAATATAAAAAGAGGCTTTTTAAAATGGTGCTTATTGAGCTGTGGGACAGAATTAATTTATCTGAATTTAAGGTGAGTCCATGGTATTGAATATGTCAAAGCCAGTGATACATGGTTAGAAGTTCACAAAGCGAGAAAGAGCACGAGAGACCGTAATTTAGTTTAATGTGTTTAATTTGTGGTATGACAGTGTATTTCATTATCCACAGACATAGTCCACACAGGTTAGAAATCCCCTGGGGACAAGATAAATCAGGAGAGTGCTTGCTTTAATGTCATCTGTGGGGACATCCACAAAGTGAAGTAACTGGTAATTCCTGGGGAATAGAGCAAAAAGAAAAGTACAAATTTCTCAGATTCTGAGTATTTACTGGGTATCACTTCCCAACTGATATAACTACCATAAAGGCAGCAAGGCACAAAGAGGGTTAGTGGAGCAAACTTCAGTGGAAGACAACATTGAAATGCCTTGAGTCAGCCCTGGAAAGTTTATTTGTCCTTACTGACGTGTGCTGCTAGGACTCTGCTGTGGTGTGCTCTATCATACCACCTCCTACTTGAATGTGAAACAGTAGGTTTCAACAGGCAGCCTCTTTCTTCATGGGGTGTTACTCCATTTCAGTGGCTTTATATCGCTACATACTCTGGAATTTCTGAAATGTTCTAGGGGACAAGTGATGACTGCTTGGAGCTGGTTATGGACAGCAGGAAGACAGCAGCTCTTTACGTCCAGCTTTGCTTCTGGTACACTTCTGGGTGTGGGGAAGTAGCAGGACTGCCTTTTTCCTTGAATCGCCTGTACAAGCATCAAGCAGAAAGGTTGCCTTCCCATGACACATACTAAGGCAGGTTACAACAGGGTTTGTTGGTTATGTCACACAGTTGATGTGGTGTGGTAACACGGCGTGACAGCAAGATGAAATGCAAGACCCTGTGTCAAAGAGTCTGCTTTCAAAACATAGCCTGCTCCTTACCACCCCACAGGGCAAGAAACTTTTCACCCAGATGTTGCATGCTCGCTTGCTGGTTTGCCCCTCTGCTGGGATTCTAGGTCTAGAGTTTACTTGCCACAGTGAAGCAGGAGCTGAGGAGAGATCAAACAGGCACAGGGAGAAGACACTGGCTTTTCTGCTACTTCCCCTTTCTCTCCTGCACTGTGTCACTTTAAGAAGAAGAGAAGTGCATTAATAGCTCTGAATATGTTGTTGGGCATTGGTGAACACACAGCAAGTCCCAATGTTTTTTTTTCCAAATTCACTGGGTTTTGACAGGAAACACGGGTCAAGGTTTAACACTTATGAAAAAGATTCCCTTAAATCCATGAGGGAGCATAGCACAAGTTATTCTCCCTGTGCTGCTCTGGTGATGGCCTTCAGCTCTGTCCTGGAGGTATTTACCTCTGTGGGCAGGACTATGGTGCTAATTATAATGCTCCAGGAAATAAGGTAATTGTGTAATATGTTAAGGAATAGCACCCCTCAACCCAATAACCACTTTCCATTTCATCTTGTTCCCTTTTCCAGGCAGGATCCAATGCTTACACTTGTATCCGAAGTATATAATATAATGATGCCTTGAACCTAATTGTCCTGTCTGACTACATGCATTTATATCCACTCATTTAATGGATATAATAGTTTATTTACCTATTTCTAATGACCTCATTTGTAGTCAGCTCTATTGCTTGCAATGGTGATGTATGGAGACAACAGTATCAGTATTGCTTCTACTACACAAACACAGCACCATTCTTGGTGCTGAGCTGCTGCAAGCAGAGGTACACCTAGGGTCCTTGTGATCTAGGAGAATGGAGGTAGGCTTAAAAGAAGGATTCAAATATCTAATTGCCAACTTAGACCCTCAAAACACCTCTTTCATTTTTTGTTTCTGGGCACTGTCATTTCTGACAAGAATGTCTCCATTAACTTCATTATTTCTACATTTGCCTCTGTATAACTCTGTGGAGAAAGAAGTTTGCTTCTTCATTAATGGGATTCACAAAGAAGGTGCACTTCCTGTCTTGCTGTGATGGTCCAGTCTGACTCTGAAAACAGCATATGAAAACAAATACCCTCATGTCTAGAGAGGATGAGAGTGATGGGGAGCACTTATGGCATGTAGGAGGCCAAAGCTCAGATCTGCTTTTGGCTGTTGGTAAAGAACCAGAGTATGCATGCAACTCCATGTCAGCTGGGACTCTGTGAATCATTATGAATGCCTCTGGATGGTGGGCTTCTGTTTTACCTTGCAAAGTATAATTTGGAACAGGTACTGGAATGTGACTGTCCCAGATGATGGTATAGCACACCAGCCATTTAATTATAGTCATGATGAATTCACAGGAAGATTTCAGCACTGAAGCCTCACCTCTAGAGAACAGCAAGCCTAGACATCAAACAAACTATGAATTAGGAGGTATGTAAAGCTAGCATCCACCAGGTTTTCACCAGCAAAGTTGTGGCAGTCCCTAACATCTCTTCTAGGCATGTCTGCTTTGTTTCTGCTTCTGCTTTGCTTTGAATAGAGGACTGCCAAAACCCCTACATGATCCACTATCCCTCCTGCTCTTGTTTGTCACCTAGGGCCTGAGCCAAAAGGCATCCCTGAGCACACATAGAAAATCAGATATTCCCCCTAAAAGTTGCACCAGGTATTCTTGTGGTTAAGACATTCATTCAGAACATGGATTCATTCATCCAGAATTCTTTCTCTACCAGCGGAGTCCTGAACACACACCTCACATGTAGCTGTCCCATTCGGCAGGTTGGAAGATGTCCCGGCGTGGGACATTCCCCATCCTTCGGCTGCGCATGGTCCCTGCAGAACGGGGCAGGAATACAGTTCTTCCCTCCCAGCAGCGCTCAGGGCAGTGCCTGGCAGGAGGCCGAGGTTCCCGCACCGCCGGAACCCCGCTGCTTCGGAGGATGGGGATGAGCTGCCAGCAGGGCCGACACACGGTGGCGGTGCGGAGCCGGTGCCGCCCTGAGCAGGGGGAAAGACGGGGGAAGGAAGCCCCCGCCCAGCGGTGGGTCCTGCAGCGCTGCCCCTGGGGAGAAAGCCGTGGCGTGCTGCTCTACGAG